AAAAATTAAGGACGACTCGGAACAACACCAAATTAAGTCTGCATAGCGTTCAGGAGGTGGGCTAACAATTGCAAGCATTTAAAACCTGTTCCAAACATTGTAAGGCACTTTTAAATGAGTGAAAACTGACATCGGAAAGGGCTCTTTGATCTCCGTTTTCCTGCTTTTGAAGCTCTTTCCGATGTCCGTTTACGCTCATAGTTATTCTTCCATCTTGCTTCTGGTCCTTTTATTTACATCTAGGATCCTCAAACTATATTGGATATCTGTCTATTTAAAACACTTTCTTTTTGCTCTTGTCTGAGAGCCTAACTTTAGTTAGTCAAAACCATTACAGTAGGACCCCTATACGTGCTGGGGATTGGTTCCATGCTACCCATGGATATTTAAAGCCGTGGATAATAGCAAACACTATATTTTATATATAGCAAGGAAAAAGGAAAAAAATAGAAAAAATATTTTTCAAATGCCAGAATTGGCAACTAGAGGGAGCCAGATACCATGCTATGTATTCTTCACTAACAAGTATTCATAGCACGATTTCTGGCTCTCTCTAGTGGCTGGGTCTGGCAATACATGTGAAAATAGGTTTTTTTCTGGATTTTTTCTTTTAATATTTTAAATATTTTCAGACCATGGGTAAGTGTATCAGTGGATACGGACACCATGGATAAGGAGTCATTTATACCAGGGTGGGGGTTTTTTTGGTCCTTTTTCTTTTTGGTTTGCTTTTGCCTTTTGTAGTCATTTCTCCCATTGAATAAGTTCTTTGACTGGATTATAAATGTGTTTTAAACATATTTGAGCACAAATTAGAATATTAAACTGTTAATTGAATTAAACAAGAGCTGAAAGTGCATGTGACAGTCTGAATTATTTTCTGGGAAATAAGCCTGAGTTAATGGTGAACTAATACTTGGAAGTTTAAAAACAAAACAAAAAACATGAAGCCATATAAAATAGTTAAAATGTTCCAAATTATAGAAATAGTCATGAACAAACTTTTGATTGATTGTTAAAAGATAATTGTTACCTTTAGGGGAAGGAGAATTTATTGCTACAGGAAGCTTTCATGGGAAGTGCTATGAATAGTATGAATTTATCATACAGAGGGAAATTAATGTTTGATAAACATGCTTTTCTACCCCTGAATGTGAGAAGCTCTCTTACTATTTGCAGTCATATAATTTACTTATATGCTCTCATTTGACCAAAAATAGTTTACACTGTTCTCAAAATAATTTTGGAAACTCACAAGACTGAGAATGGATATTTGTCATAAACAGCCTTTTTAGTGAAGACAAATCAGCACATCAGGATTAAAGGACCTTAAGCATATTCTTTCCGTAGGTCACTTTGAGATTTTGATGTGAGCCTCATTACTTTCTTCCTAATGCTTGCAGTATTTTGCCTGTTATTTGTTAAAGAATTGTTGTAGAACAGGGGTTCAAGTGCTTATATACATGCCCTATTTCTGTAGGTAGCTCTTGCTGACCTATTACCATGTTAGTGACAGATCTCTTCTGGCAGCAAATTACTACTGAGTGTATCTACACCCATGCTATAACTAGTCATAGGGAGTGTTTTGAGTGGGTATCTTCAACTCCAGAGATAAATTCATCCCAAAAATAAAACAAAAGTGGCTGTCACCTTCACAGTGGAAAAAAGGACTACTGAAGACTAATCTTAACCAGTTTTAGATCTGGAATCCTAAGCACACTTGCATAAAAGTTCCACTAGTATCAGCAGGTTATATATTCAATATTTTGGGTTTCTTCTAGCTATTTTATAGAATGACTTCCCTTCAAGGTGCCTAAAATCCCTATGAAAATACAAAATATAGCTATAAATTCATAAATGTCTTTGGAGAAATAAATGGCCAGTATAACTGTCGAGAGCTGATTAATAAGCAATAAAAATATGTATTTGCTATTTATATCTAATGTATGTTTATGTTCCAGTGTAATGAAAGAAAGAATTCTCCTGTGACATCCCCAGGATCTTCTCCACTTGCTCAAAGAAGAAAACCACTTCCTGATGCCCTGCAAGGATCTCACCTTAGCCTCCCACCAGTGCCTCCTCGACTAGATCTAATTCAGAAGGGAGTTGCTCGATCCCCTTGTGCCAGTCCTGCTAGCTCACCAAAGGTATATCCTGTTTATCAATGGCTTCTAATTTTCTAAATATTCTCTTCACAGAAAGTAGGGGAGATCCAAAGTGTGGTCTTTGAGCAAACCAAGAGCATCTCACACTCACTTTTTGCACTAATCATTCTTTCAAACTACTATTATAACTACAGTATAACACAGGGGTCTCCAAACTACAGCCCGCAGGCTACATCCGGCCCACCTTGCATTTTTATCTGGTCTGGTGGGCAGGCACGTGTGGGAGTGCAGGCGGGTGCACACATGTGCGTGCTTTGGCCCTCAAAAATCTGGTGCATATATGTTGTGGCCCTCACTCTGAAAAGTTTGGAGACCCCTGGGCAATTCAAGCAATTCATGAACGAAACAATGCAGACCAGATACAATGGTGCCTCGCAAGACAAATGCCTCACAGGACAAAAAACTCGCAAGACAAATGGTTTTGGCAATGGGGTTGATGACTCGCAAGGCAAATGTTCCTACGGCCGTGCTTTGCAAGACAAATGCTTTCTGTTTTTTGTTCCTGCCTCATGTTTGCTGATTTTTAAATGTTCTTCTATGTTTAAAAAGTTGAAGTTTTTTGATTGAAATTTTTTAAATCATCTGCACAATATGTATGGCTTTAAAGAGCACTTAATAAACCCTTTGTAAGCCAAATTTAATTTTATTCTGACATTTTTTGGCCATAGGAACGCATTAATTAGATTTCAATACATTCCTATGGGAAAACTCATTTTGCAAGATGAACTTTTTGCAAGACAACATTAACCGGGGAATGAATTAAATTCGTCTTGCGAGGCACCACTGTACAAATAATCTATAATGTAATCTGAGTCCGAACTGTGCATGACTCATTTAAAATGCACAGAAGTAATTTCCAAGAAGACCACAAGGGATAATACTATATTTTGCAAAGCTCATTCTTCTGCTTTGGTTTCTCCCATATTGTGAGCATGCATAATCCATCTATTCTATTTATTGAAATGGGCTTACTCTAACTGCAGTTTACTGTGCTAAAGTAGCAAATGAGTTGACTTGCTAAATCCTCATTGACTTCTAGGCTGTCATTTTAAAGCAGTAGAAATCCCACTTTTATACACATTGCCTGAATATCCAAATAAAGTCACTGTTTATGATTGTGATATACCAAAACCAGTAAGTTTCAAAATGTTTCCCCTTTTCAGGTGCTCCAGGTGTACATTGTATATAGATGGCATGATAATTAAGAAGAATTTGAGCTCAGGAATTATAATTACTTAAAGAGAAAACCTCAAATACAGTTTGTGCATGTTTTCCAGGAAGGATAGTAAATAAATAAATACATTTTCAATATACCCAATGTAAAATACTTCAGCCCTAATTGAAGAATGCTGTTGGTCTGTAATTGATACAGTCAATACGATTAGATATTTAGTTGAATTTTGGCAGCATACTTCATAAATTTAATTATTAAACTTGTGTATGTGTTCCAGCATGTATGCAGATGCCAAGCAATAACACACAATGTTCTTTATCAGTGTTTTCCCTTCAGACTTCACAATACTATTTGTAAGCTAATTTTAATTGTAATTGCTGGTGATTTTATTGGGGGTAGGGTTTTCACAGCAGAAGCACATCTTCAGTAGATAGAGTTTCCCTCTTGTTGTGGACAGTAACAGAGGCCCAGCTTTTCTTGGGAACATATTAAGCATTTAAGCAACAGAAGTACATAAAATGCTTCCTTACAACTAACATAACTTTGATTAACTCCATCATTTAAACTGATGGTGAAAGTTTGGTTTTGTTGGTCTTGATAGTACATGGAGATGTTAATCTATAATGGTGGACATGTTGCAGTATACTAGAAGATAGATGCCCTGCTATTTCTAACAAATTCACAATAAATTCTGCATAACCATGTGTCCTATTTTGTTTACATTTAAAATTCCTTAAGTTTCAATCAACTGATCTTTCAGTGTAATTGTTTATTTTAACAATTTGTTAAAATATTGATTATTTTAACAAAAGTGCAAATTGTGTGTGAATTCTGAAGATACATAAGCAAATACTGCTTTATTCTTGCCAGTAAATGTTATATACTCAGGATATCTTTTGATGACTATATGGTGCGTATAGAAGGAAAAGGTATTTTTTCCTGTTTCATTTTCCAGTCATCATTGTTACAATCTTTTTTAACAATTAAAAGAATTAAAATATACTGGAAAATAAAAGGGTTGTAAAAAGAAAAAAGTAACAGGTAAAAAAAATATGCTTTAAAAATATCCTTAGTTTTTTCTGAAAGTGAACTTCTAGATCAAGGGTCTCCAAACTTTTCACACAGAGTGCCACATAATATATTTACAATATTTGAGGTCCGAAGGAATGCGCACATACACTCGCCCACCCGCACACACTCATTCCCACCTGCAAGCATACTTGCCCACATGCACAACTGCCCAGAAGGGTGGACGGGCCAGATAAAAGGGCCAGATGTGGCCTGCGGGCCATGCTTTGGAAACTCATGTTCTAAATGACAATGCTTGTTTGAAATTAAAGTTGTATTTATATTGTTTATCTAGTCATCACCATGTATGATGAGAAAACAAGATAAGCCTCTTCCTGCACCACCACCACCTGTACGAGATCCTCCTCCACCTCCACCAGAAAGACCTCCTCCCATTCCACTGGATAATAGGTTAAGTAGACACATGCATCACCCTGAAAGTGTGCCTTCCAGAGACCAGCCGATGCCACTTGAAGCCTGGTGCCCCAGAGATGTATGTGGGACTAATCATACAGTGGGATGTCGAATAGTAGGAAGTGACAGTTCTCCCAAGCCTGGACTCACTGCAGGCTCAAAAGTGAATGGTGGGCATTGTCGCATGGGTTCTGATCCAATATTTCTGCGGAAGCACAGACACCACGATTTGCCTTTAGAAGGTGCCAAGGTAAGACACCTGTAATGCAAAATGTGAAGCTTCATATGTTTTCTAGTCTGATTCAGTTTCCCATTACCTCTAGTATCAATCTCTGTCTTTCTCCTTTTGTTTCCTTTTCTTTTCACACTTAAAATAAAAATGCTGTGAATAATCAAGAATCATTTCCTCTTCTTAATGAAAGTTGTACTATATTTATAGTTCAGTCTTAAGATTTTGCACTCCCTAAAAATGTCCAATAGAAGAACATCCTTAAATAAAATGCTTAAACATAGAACTTTTACAGTGATTACTGTTGCTAATAGTTTCAGCTTCACCTAGTTTATGGCTTTGTTAAAAATGTTAATTTTTTATAAATAGTGGTGCCTCGCATAGCGATCACGCCGTTTAGCGACGAAATCGCTTTGCGACACATTTTTTGCGATCGCAAAAGTGATCACTGCGATGTTCCCTATGGGGGAATTTCACTTTGCGATGACCGATCATCGTAAAGCGACCATTTTCGGCCAGCTGATCGGCGGTTTCAAAATGGCCGCCGGGGAAAAAAACATGTCCGCTCGCTGTTTTCAGGGACGGATTCCTCGCTTAAGAGGCACCAGAAATGGCTGCGCTATGGAGGATCTTCGCTGAACAGTGAGTTTGAAGCCCATAGGAACGCATTAATTGCGTTTTAATGCGTTTCTATGGGCTTTTTTATTTTGCATTGCGACATTTTCGTTCTGCAGCGATTTTTGCAGAACAAATTAACGTTGCAATGTGAGGCACCACTGTAGATTTATTTATAGAAAGTAACTTACCAGAATAAGTTATAAATTGAAAATGTTACAATTCTTTGTGAAGTGTGTGCAAGCTACAAATGGTGTGCCATTTATTTACTAACACTGGTAGATTCTGAGAAAATACTTAGAAACTGCATGCTGAGATAGGAAATTTGAACAGAGGAAGTTCAATTGATGCAGAAAATACAGTGTATTGCTCTCATGCTGCTGGCAGGCTATAATGCTGAGAAATCTATCTCTTGCAGTTGTTTTCAAATGGTCATCTAGGTAGCGAGGAATATGATGTTCCACCTCGACTCTCACCCCCTCCTCCAGTTGCTTCGGTCACGATGAATATGAAGTGAGTTTAATTTTTAAAATAAGCATTTTTGTCACACTATAAAAAGAAAATCATTTGATTTGATTAATTTCACAAATTTCAGGTAGATCTTTGTAAAATATGACATTGATGGCAAGTAGTTTTCTATAAACATGTTACACATTGTACAAGGATATTGGGTAGAACCCTGCTGGAGAAATACTAAATGAAAATCTTTGTGTTCTAGTTACTGGTTTTTATTCAGGATATAGAAAAACATAGAGTGAAAATTTTGTAAAACCATAGTTTATGTGGTAGAAATGTTAATAAAATTTGCAGAAACTTGGTGTACCTATTCAGCCTTGCTTTTCATGCTTCAGGCATTATCGAATAAGTAAACAAGATAGCAAATGGTTTAGTTCAATCTGCTGAAGCAATTGCTTTTTAGAAAGAGTACGAACATTATTTCAGGCTCTATTGGATTAGTACTGTGGTTTTCGTTTTGAATTTGGACATTGAACTTACACCATAGCACCCCCATATTACTGAGGGTTGATTCCATGGCCCTCATGGATACTGTTAACTGTGGATAATAGCGAATGATATACAGTGGTGTCCCGCATAGCGACGTTAATCCGTTCTGGATTAATCGTCGCTATCTGGAATCGTCGCTAAACGGAACTAAAAACCCCATAGGAACAAATTAAACTTCGTTTAATGCTTTCTTATGGGGCATAAACTCACTGTTCAGCAAAGATCCTCCATAGCGCCGCCATTTTCGCCGCCTCAGTAAGCGAGGGCAACGGGCGAAAATGCTTGCGGTGGCCATTTTGGGCACCCGGCGGCTGTTTTGGAACCTCCGATCAGCTGTTCTAAAAACATCGCAATGCAAAGATCGGTAAGCGAAACGCTTACCGATCATTGCAGTGCGATGTTTGCCCATTCAGAACATTGCAATGCGATCGCATTAGCGATCCCAAAAAATAGATCGCTATGTGGATTCGTCGTTAAACAGTGCGCTCGTTATGCGAGGCACCACTGTACATGCTGTGTATTCATAGTATGGTCTCTGGCTCTATCTGATGGCCTGTGATGGTAATACATGTGAAAATAATTTTTTTTCTCAGACCTTTTCTTTTAATATTTTTACCCTGTTTCCCCGAAATTAAGACCTAACCTGAAAATAAGCCGTAATATGATTTTTAAGGATACTTGTAATATAAGTCCTACTCCAAAACTAAGCCCCAGTTAAGTGAAACCCAACCCTCAACCATTGTGCAACAACCAGAAGCTGACATAATTAAAATAAAACATCCCCTGAAAATAAGCCCTAGTGTGTTTTTTAGAGGAAAAATTAATATAAGACCCTGCCTTATTTTTGGGGTAACACAATATTGGATATGAATCCCATGGATATGGGGGTCCTACTGTACTTCTTGACTCTTTTTTTTTAACTTTATAAAATGGCACATCCCAACTTTGGCTATTAGCCAAAGGCAAAAGAGAACTTTGGGTAAATGCATACTAATGATCCCAAGAAAATGCTGTATTATTTATACATTTGAAAGAAGTGTTTTTTTAAGCTCATTAGAATGCTTTCACTGTCTTCTGCTGGATAGCTTTCATCTTGATTTCTTCATGTCACAGTGTGGGCTATATAATTTGTTTTTGTGTTCTTTTGTTTTATATTAGCATCTGCAATATGAAGCAAAATTTCATATGTGGTACATTTTCTTGGTTCAAGGATTTTTCTAGATCCCAAGACAAGCCATCTCATCTAGGTTCTGCATTACTTTTTAAGCCAAATGTCTCACACTATATTCTTGTATCGTCATTATGTTTTGGTGCCTTAGTTAACCAACAATTTGACTGATTTCCTTGAAGGTAACAAAAGGATAAGAATAGCTGAAATCCTATTTTATGGAAAGAAAAAATTTCCAGTCCACCTCCCACATCATCTTGAGGGTTTTGCTGGATCCCTTTTGTTACGATGATTCCATCAGAGACCACTGCAGGGAGGGAGGTTTTAATTTCTGAAAATTACTCCTAGGAAGATTGATAGCCATAGTTTCAAATATCTGTAGTTTCCCACAAGTCTATATACAACATACAAGCATACCTCTTGTTGGTCCTTCTCCTGCCCCTCGTATGTTGTATATAGGGTTCCCTTGCATCCACAGTTTCAGGCATCCACAGTAGATCATGGAACTGAACCTCCTACGGATATGGGGGTTCTACCATAGTTCTGAAAAATTGCCACGGATGAAAATAAGTATGGTCTGTTTAGGAAAGTTGTTACAAACAAAAGTGTACAGTACTTATGTCAAAGCAATTGTCTTTCTGCTTACAGTGGTGCCTTGCTTATCGATCACTCCATTGAGCAATGAAATCGCTTTGCGATGGACTTTTGGCCATTGCTGGAGCGATCGCTTAGCGATGGCCCCATGGCTAAAATTCAGTTTGCGATGATCACGGGGAAGCGATCATGACAAAGCGAACTTTTTTAAACAGCTGATTGGTGGTTCCAAAATGGCCGCTGCAAAAACAAAATGGCCGCCACTGTTTTGCCTCACTTTAGAGGCACCCAAAATAGCTACAGCTATGGAGGAATTTTGCTTTAAGGTAAGTTTTTTGCCTATAGGAACGTATTAAACGCGTTTTAATAAGTTCCTATGGGCTTTTTAATATTGCTTAGCGATTAAATCACTTAGCGATTTTTTTTCCGGAACGGATTAGCATCGCTAAGTGAGGCACCACTTATATGGAAAAGTAGGTGTGCCAGAACTTATGAAATTGAAGTAAAGACTTGCGATTGATTATACAATAATTGCATGGCATCAAATCAGTTCAGACTTACAGTGACCTTTTCTAGAGTTTTCTAGATATAGAGACTTAGATGTGGTTTACCGGTGCTGTCTTCTATTATAAACATAAACAGTTTACAAATGTTATTTCATTTTATTTTCACCTGTTCATTGAACCTTTTTATTTTTTAGTGTTTTTAAAAATGTTTTATTTTTGCAGACCTTAGTTATTATGTTTATACACATCAGATACAATATATTGTCGATCTGCATACGCTGCCGATCAGAGTTATGACACATGGTTTCTGTAGTACCAGCAAAGTAAACAAAGCTGTTTCACCACATACAGTGATACCTCGACTTACGACCATAATCCATTCCAGAAGATGGACATAACTCGAAATGGTCATAAGTCGAAGCACCATTTCCCATAGGAATGCATTGAAATGCAGTTAATCCATTCCAATTAATCCACTGCATTGAAATGCAATTAATCCATTCCAATTAATCCAAATTTTAAAAAATCACCAAAAAAATCACTGCAAGACTTATTATACACTGCAATCAATCCCTTCCGGCTGAAGGGCGGGGGAGAAAAGCAATCAAGTGTGCAAGACCCATTGGAAATGCATAGGAAAAAATGGAGCAGGTCAGAAATGCACTGAGAACAAAGGGGTCAGAAATGCAAAAAAAAAACAAAGGAAAAAGCAAGGGAAGCATGCAGGACCCATTGGAAATGGGGAAAAACCTTCCTAAAAGCAACCAAACCCCCCAAGACCCATCGGAGATGGGGGGGAAACCTAAAAAAAGACAAACCCCCCAAGACCCATCAGAAATGGGGAAAAATTGTCCAAAAAGCAACAAAACCCCCAAGACCCATCGGAAATGGGGGGGAGAACAAACCCCCCAAGACCCATCACAGCGCAGAAACATAACCCCCCAGCTCAAAACCACACTGCAAAAACACCCATAACAATTTTTAAAAAGCAGAAAACAGCACCTTACCAGGCAACCTCCCTGCAAACACACACACACATACACACACTCAGAAGCAGAAGGAGGCAGTCCAAAGCCTTCTCCAACACACACACTAACTGCTGGGGCAAAAGAGCTACAAAGAAACAGCCTCGTCACCACCTACAGTTAGAAATTTGAATTTCCTGCCTTTTTCCCCTGCCTTTTTCTGTTCGTAAGTGGAAGCTCTGGCTACAAGTAGAAGCAAAATTTTGTGGCTGGAGCTGGTCGTAACTCAAAATGGTCGTAAGTAGGGACATTCGTAAGTCGAGGCATCACTGTACATTCTTACTTTTAAAAATGGCAGTGTGAGGTCAACTCATAGCTGTAGCAGAGTTAAAACAGTAGTGTAAAAGGGAACATTGGCTATTTGTGTAGGTTGATGATAAAGATAATACATTCTGACAGCAACCTTGTGAGATGGTTGTCATTTGGCAGGTGGCATACACAAGAGGTGGATGAGCATCACATATGCAGATTATATTATGTTTGATGTGGAAATCGGACTTCCTGCCCTATTTAGGCATAACAGGTCCTGTTCATGATAAGATCTTCAGTTCTGTGGTTAGTTTCTGAGGCAATCGTTTTTTGTAGAATTTGCTCTTAATTGTCTTGTGAATTTTCTGTTTATGGTGTGTGTGTGTGTGTGTGTAGTGTTTTTAAGTGTGGCCGGTAGCCATATTAAATTCCGGGTATGGTTTACATACCTGGCCAGTAAATAAATAATAATAATAATAATACGTTTTTCTTGCATGGCTTTTCATTTTGGGATTTTAGGTTTCTCTTAATTGTAAAATTGTTAAAAAGTAATGTTTTGAAGGAAAATAATCATAACTATATCATGTACATTTGTTGTGTACTTACCAGACTCACAACATATGGCCAGAAGTAACTATACAGACAAAATATCATAGGCATATGGTCAAGATACCATATTTTTTTCTCCATAAGATGCACCTCTCCATAATACACACCAGATTTTTGGAAGAAAACAGGGAAAAATTAATCTGTTTTCTTCTAAAAATTTGGTGAGCCTTACGTAGAGATCCGCCTAGCTCCATCTGGCCCCATGGCAGGTGGGGGGAGCCTCCAAAGGGTCCTAGGGTGTGTTCCAGAACCATTTGGAGGCTCACCCTGCCCCCCCATGGGGCCAGAGGGGGTGAAATCGCCCCCTTCAGGGACTCTTCTGAACCTTCCCAAGCCTCAAAAGAGTCCCAGAAGGTAGCGATTTAGCTCCCTATGGCCCTGCAGGGTGGTGGTGGGAGCCTCCCAAGGGTCAAAGTCTGCTTCCAAGGACCCTTGGGAAGCTCCCTACACCCCCTGGGGGCCAGAGGGAGTGAAATCGCCACCTTCAGGGACTCTTCGAAGCTTCCCAAACCTCAAAAGGGTCCTGGAAGCTGGTGATTTTACCCCTGCTGGCCCTGTGGGGTGTGGGGGGAGCGTCACAAGGGTCCTGGAAGGCAGAC